TGGGGGCAACTGCAGCTAAGACTGGCAACCTGAGTTCGATCCCCAGCACTCATGGTGGATGGAGAAAACCAACTCCCACAAGTTGTCCTCTGACCTCCACATACTCCCTTGGCCCATGTACATGTATACATGAGTGTATGCACATACACCATAAATACATAAACAGCAAGTGTAAAACATAAAAAAAATTAAAAGGAAGCAAGTCACATGAACCAGAAACTCCCACTCTGCTTCAACATCAGGGTTTCATAAATCCCCAGAAATTTCCCAGGAGACAGTGCTCCATATTCCTAGAAAATATCCACGTGGTACCTCAGAGTGAGTCCACTTTGGCATTTAGTAAGTTACTATTGCCAAGTGTGATGGTGCACACCTTCACCCCCAGCACTCAGGAGGCAGAGGCTGGCAGATCTCTGTGAGTTTGAGGACAGCCTGGTCTAGAGTGAGTTCCAGGACAACCAGGGCTATATAGTGAGTCCCTGCCTCAAAACAGAAAGAATGTTAAAAGAGAGGAGGAGTAAGGTAGGGAGGGAGGGAAGGAGAGAGGGAAGGAGGGGGTTACAATCCTGGAAGAGTCAGGAAGTACTTGAACTTGGACAACAGCTCATCTGGAGGTTTGAATTCAAAACTTACAAACGGAGCCCTAGGGTGAGTTGTCAAATTCCCATGCACTTAGGCTGTTAAGATGGTCCATCAGGTAAAAACACTCATCTCTCAAGCCTGATGACCCAAGTTCGATCCCCAGAACCCACCTAACAAGAAAGATGTAAGACCAGGCATGGTGATGCATGCTTTTAATCCCAGGACTCTCGAGTCAGAGACAAGGGAACCTCTGCAAATTCAAAGCCAGCTTAGTGTACATGGTGAGTTCTAGAACAGCCAGAGCAATACAGTGAAAGCTAGCTTCAAAAAAAAAAAATCAGCAGCAGTGGTGCACATCTGTAACACGAGCATACTCACTGCATCACTGGTCCTTCTTGGTTCAGAAGCTTCCAGATTCTTGGACTGAGCAACTGCTGGGCTTCCTGACTCTCCAGCTTCAGATGACTGCTGCGAGGCCACCTTTTTTTGATCCTGTCTTATGATTATATATTTACTTCTGATTCTGTTCCAGCTAGCCCTGATTAATAAAATTCTCAAGAAGTTCACATTGGAAAAGCACATGACATAAGGCGAAATACTGAAAATGGGGAGGGGGGTGTCGCGTCTGACTCCACACGTAAGCGGTGGTCACAGAGAGTAGAGAGTACCAGAGGACACCAGGCTTTGTTCCACAGGCGGAGGAGGGCTTTGAGAATGGAAGGAAGTGACTGGAGAAAATGGCGATGGAACAGTAGGAAAAGTCTAGAAACCAATCGCTTTGTTAGAAGGGCATTGCAACATGTCAGATGGAGGGCGATGGCGGCCTGCAGTGGGCCAATGACAGCAGGAAGGGTTTGGAAAGAAGAGATTAATTTAATGGTAAGCTCTAGAAAATAAAGGTTGTAAATATAAGGGTATAGTAGAACGGTTTGAGAATTCTGGTCCAGGGCTGGGGATGTAGCTCAGCTGACAGAGTGCTTGCTTAGCATGCACCAAGCCCTAGGTTGATCCCTAGAACTGCACAAAGTCAGGTGGGTATCATGGTACAAGCCTGTAATCGGAGTACTCATAGAGTGGAGGCAGGAGGATCAGAAGTTCAAAGTCACCTCTAGCTACGTAGTTCAAAGCCAGCATGGGCTCCATGAGACCCTGTCTCAAAACAAACAACATGTAGTCCGGGTTCTGCTACCTATCACTTTAGGGACACTGTGTAAGAAAGACGCAGATCCACTAGCAACCTGTGGGATCTGAAGCATCACAAGTTCAATCCCAGATCTGCCCTGTACTAGTAGTTTGAACTTGACCAAGTTACTTAATAGGTGTGTGCCTCTTGGGGTTTAAACAAGCTAATAAAAATAAAGAGCCTAAAGGATAGTACCAGGTCAATGGTGTTGGCTATTTTTCATAGTGTTAGCTTTATTATAGGTAGCATCGCTATTATTGACCCATTTGGAGAGATCTAAGATCATAGGAAATTGGTGCTCAAGGAAGATTGAGCAGAGATTGACAGTGACACACACAGTTGGCTGAGTGTAACAAGAGAAAGATAGCCAAAGATTGATGAAATTTACGGGAAAATTTGAGGTCAGAGCTCTCAGCTAAGGCGTGAGTAGAACAATAGTCATGAGCGAAGACTCTGCAGAGAGACAATGAGCCCTTCATCCCATGGCCCATGATGAGTGCATGACTCATAGGCTATATACATGTCTGTCCAGGCACAGGGAGGCACCACCTCTGGATTCAGATCTTCTCTGCAGTTACATGCCCTCAAAGCCGAAGCCCTATGACTGGTCTGTGTTTAAGATGTGCACGGTGCAGGATGGTTCTTCATCAATCACTTCACATATTCTAATTTTTTCATCTGAGTGAACTGGGATCTCAAGAGACCTGAACAGGTCAGATTTCAGCTGGTGAAAGCTGAGTCTTAAGCTCCTGATGAGGAGTTAGTCACGTGGTTTAGGATTGCATCAAAGCCCCAGCTCCCCATATCTCCTCTCAGAGTCTATGCCCTGCTCAGAGCTCCTCAGTCTCAGCACTGTTTCTGACATTTGGACTGATCAATTCTTTGTTGTGGGAGACAGTTATTCCACCACAGAACATTTAGAATATCCCCTCTACTCACTGCAAACAAGATTACTCCCAACCCAACAGTGATACCCCAAAACATCAACAGACATTGCCTGTCTTCTGTGAGGCCAAATTGCCCCCAGGATCAGAACTATTCTTACAACGGATTACAATTTTCTTTTTTCATTCAGTGATAAACTTACTCAAAGTCCCAGATTGTAAAACACAGACTTAGGGGTAGGAAAGATGGTTCCGCAGTTAAAGTCACTTGTAGCTTACAAAAAGGACCCAGGGTTCAGTTTCCAGCACCCACATGATGATGCACAACCATCTGTGACTTCAGTTCCAGGGATTCCGATGTGCTTTTCTGCCCTCCACAGGCACCAGGCATGCACATGGTGCACAGACATGCATGTAGGCAAAACACTCATACACATAAAAATAGACACATTTCTTAAATGTTAAATGAGTAGAACTGGATATTTTTCATTGGGTTAACAATCATATAATGAATTTTATTTGTCTTTCCATTGGAAATGGAGTTATCAGCTAAGCACATGAAACCATAATTCGCTTTGTAACCACCCACTTCAGTGACCCAGCTAAGTGTTCTGAGCTATCCACCAGAGAAGACTACTCAGACATGGGTTTACACCAATAGAAAGTCTTTCTTAGGCCGCCATCGACCACAGTGTGTGTCCAGGACCCCAATGTGATCCCAAACCTTTCTCAGGGTCAACTTTTAATCACACAAACCATATCCTGGGTTGACACGCCTCGGTTAGCCAGAGCAGTTATCCTGAAGCAGAACTACAAAAGCCAAAAGGCAAGGTTAGTACATTAGGGACTTTCCCAGAACTGTGGACTTGGATGGATTAGGTCTTTGCTCTTGTTTTGGCAGGTGGTGCTGTCTAGATGCTGTTTTATAGCCTGCATGGCACTTCCATCATGGAGTCAGTTGTGTTAAGATCTAGGGGCTTGTAACATAAGATTTGAATAAAACACTAATTTTTTATACTTGATTTCTGTTTCCTTTGAGATGACATCTTTCATAGCCCAGGCTAGCCTTGACCTTGATATGTAGTTCAGGATGACCCTGAACTTCTGATTTTGAGGTTGCAGGTATGTACCACCATGTCCAGTTTATGCCACACTGGGGATTGAACCCAGGGCCTTATGCATGCTTAGGCAAGCATTCCACCAGCTTTAGCTATACCCACGGCCTACCAAATTATGTTTTAAATCATGTAACTAAAGATTAAAGGCCTTGTCAAGGAACAAACTAATAAGTCAGATTTTCTTTTTTTTTTTTTTAGGTTTTTTTTTTTTTTTTTTTTTTTTTGAGACAGGGTTTCTCTGTGTAGCTTTGCACCTTTCCTGGGACTCACTTGGTAGCCCAGGCTGGCCTTGAACTCACAGTGATCCACCTGCCTCTGCCTCCCGAGTGCTGGGATTAAAGGCGTGCGCCACCACCGCCCGGCTAAAGTCAGATTTTCTATCGGCACTCTCTCAAATCAATATTTTAATATCTAAAACCTAGACCTTCAAATTCTTCTATACCTGTGACATATCTAAGTGTGATTCAGAAAACACTAACTCCCAGAGGTATCCTGTAGGAAAAGGGCCCTAACCTTAACCCTAAGTCTGTATCAAGAAAACAGAGCATTTTCTTGTCTTACATTTTACTGTATTTGTGAGATCCATGCTGAATCTCCATGACGCGCATGCCAGATGGGTTGTTTCTCTCTGCCATTCAGCTGTTGTACTGGCTGGTTTTGTGTGTCAACTTGACACAAGCTAGTGTCATCAGAGGAAGGAGCCTCAGCTGAGGAAATGCCTCCTTGAGATCCAGCTGTAAGGCATTTTCTCAGTTAGTGATCAGTGGGGGAGGGCCCAGCCTGTGGTGGGTGGGGCCATCCCTGGGCTGCTGGTCCTGGATCCTATAAGGTGGGCTGAGCAAGCTGGAAAGCAGCTCCTCTCCATGGCCTCTGCACCAGCTCCTGCCTCCAGGATCCTGCCCTGTGTGAGTTCCTGTCCTGACTTCCTTTGGTGATGAACAGCAATGCTGAAGTATGAGCCAAATAAACCCTTTCCTCCCCAATTTGTTTTTGGTCATGGTGTTTCATCACAGCAATAGAAATCCTAACTGAGATGGACTTATCATATTTTTCCGGGCTGGCTAGCTTGCTTGCTTAGCTAAAGAGTTTCTCAAAGAATTAATGGTCTCTATACTACTTCCAAGAACCCCACCACCACCGTCATGGTGTACAACTGGATGGTGGCTAGCTGTGGATGGGGAGCCTGAGGTCAGTTGTTGGCTGCGTTCAGATGTATCACTGGCTTTGGTTCCTCTCGGGTAAGCACTGAGGTTTCTTCCTCCAGAAACTCCAGCTACAACTGAAAGTGACAGAAACCGTTTTCATGACAAATCCTAGGGTGGCGACTGCTGTATTAAAAGGCTCCTTCCTCACTTGTGATGGGAGTCCTGCCGGAAGCCCAGAACACCATGACGGCAGGAAGAACGGCCTGCAGGGTTACTTCCGAAACTGGAAGAGAGATCATTGAGGGAGGACTGCTTGGGCTCTAGCCACCAGACAGCCCACCCTAGCCACCTCCTTCGAAGGATAGCTCCCACGGACTTGAGAGATGCCGACTGGTTTATCTGGGACCAGTTGACGCAGCCCATCCCCCACTCCACTGATCAACAGAGTGGCAGAAGGACAATTCCACTCACATGTGGTGCCGGGAAGGTAAAATACCAAAAGAGCTTTAAAAGACTTTCTGAGCAGAAAGAAGAGATACCCCCACTTTGTGTCCACAGCACGGAAGCCTTCCACCTGCCCGGGCCTCAACCACAACCGTCAAGGCAGCCTGTCGTCTTTCAGGGAGGCTTTGGCGGGCAAGTCTTTTTACCCTGAAAGTTAGCACCGATGGTTGATTGATGACTCCCAAGAGTATCAGTTCATTTCCGTTATCAGCTAAACATCCTCCTTTCTTTCTTTTTTTTTTTTTAAATTCGGAGCTGAGGACCGAACCCAGGGCCTTGCGCTTTCTAAGCAAGCACTCTACCACTGAGCCAAATCCCCAGCCCCACATCCTCCTTCTTAACAGACATCCCAAACACAAAGGCAGAGAGCTGGAAGGTGATGTGAGACATGGGCGGTGGGGGGAATGACCTCCGAGTGACCTAAGGACCAACATTAAGCACTTGCCCTTTTCCCATCTTCTCATTAGCCATAAACTTTTCTTGGTAATTCTAAAAGGATTTGGCGATCATCAATGTCTGTGCAAGCAAAGGGGAGGCTATTGCATGAGCACACAGGTTGTATCCCAGCCTCTAGTGGGGTGGTTCTCAATCTTGCTAACGCAGCAGCCCTTCGATACAGTTTCTCGTGCTGTGGTGACCACCCCCAACTACGCAATTATTTCGTTGCTACATCATAACTGTCATTTTGCTGCTTTTATGAATCATAATGTCAAGATCTGATATTTTTGATGGTCTTGGGCAACCCCTGTGAAAGGGTCATTCGACCCCCCCTGAGCGGTCGCGACCCAGAGGTTGAGAACCCCTGGTCTAGCGGCCTTGCTTCTACCTGAAAAGGCCTTTCTCTGGACCACAGTCTTTTAGTCTTGGTCATCAACACATTTTATCTTGCTAAGAAGAAATATTATACAGAAGTTAGACTGTGGACCAGTTCTTACTTTTATTTTTGACCCTGAGTGTGGGGGGAGGGGCATCTTGATTATTACATTCTCATTTGAGTTGTGTTAATTCTTTTTTCCTCTCTCTCTCTTTTAGAATTACTTTATGTATATGAGCAAGCCACCATGTACGTGCTAGGACCTGAACCCAGATCTTCTGCAAGAGCGACAAATATTCTTAACCACTGAGCCATCCTTCCAGCTCCCTTGAAGGTATTTTTTTTTTTTTTTTTTAAGATTTATTTTATTAGCCGGGCGTTGGTGGCGCACGCCTTTAATCCCAGCACTCGGGAGGCAGAGGCAGGCGGATCTCTGTGAGTTCGAGGCCAGCCTGGGCTACCAAGTGAGTTCCAGGAAAAGGCGCAAAGCTACACAGAGAAACCCTGTCTCGAAAAACCAAAAAAAAAAAAAAAAAAAGATTTATTTTATTTATTTTATATGTGTGTGTATTTGTGTAAGTGAATGCCACATGTGTCTGGGTGCCTGAGGAGGCCAGAAGAGGGCATCAGATTCCCTGGAACTGGAGTTACAGATGGTTATGAGGTGCTGGATGTGGGTGCTGGAAACCGTACTTTGTTCCTCTGGGAGAGCAGCAAGCGCCTTTAACTGCTCAGTCATCTCTCCAGCCCTTGCTTCTTGATTTTGTTGCAGCAAAAGTTACAATTTTACAACAAAGAATGAAGAAGGGAAACATAATTTTGAAGCAAAACTGCTGCTACTATATTCATTTTTATGAAGTACGCCTTATGGCCATTTGCATTCTGGGGTGAGAGCATGTGGTATGTGATCTTTCTTTACTTAATATATTTCATTATGCAGAAAAATGAAATTCAAATCAGAAGCCACATCCCTTGAAAAAGGAGAAAATGATGGAGACTGTGACATCTGATATTCTAATATTCATTGTGTGTGTGTGTGTGTGTGTGTGTGTGTGTGTGTGTGTGTGTGTGTACATGTGTATACATGTTCATATAGAGTCCAGAGGACAGCCTCAGGTGTCACCCCTCAGTGGCCACACATTGATTTTTTTTTTTTTTGAGACAGGGTCTCTCACTGGCCTAGAACTCAGCAGAGATCTGCTGTCACCACCTCCTCAACACTGAGAATACAAGCATGCACCCATCTTGAGATTCCCGGAGAAATACCAGTTTCTTGGGGTGCGTTGCTTCTGGAGGTCACCATGCTCGCGGGCAAGCACTTCCCTGAAGGAGCTCTTTCCTCAGCACCTGATACGCACGTCTAAGGATAACATTTAACTTCGTGTTCAAACTGCCTAGAGCCACAAAGAGAACAGTGAAATCCCACTCCCAGCTGTAAATGCAAGCGGTGGTGAACAGGTTCTAATCAGGTTTGTTTAAATTAGGGGCTGGAGGTATGCAAAGCTAAGAATGCCATTTAAGACATGGCCCAGGCCTCTGGCTGGCTCCAGGCTCCCAACTTTTCCCTTTCCCCAGCATGAGACTCCTGGGGCTATCCCAGTTTTCTGGGGGTACCTTGATTCAATAGTCTGGTAGCCAAAGGGAGGACCCCAAGTGTCTCTTTAGAATATCTTCATTTCTGCCAGAACAGACACAAGAGGGGAATTGCTGTCTGCAAACCAACTCATGTCCTACACAAATGGTTAATAGAAAAGGAATATATAAATAGAAACCACTTCCTCCCCACAGCCCAGCATGGCTGAAATTGTCTTTGGCATTAATAAAATAGATTTTAATATGTTTGTTTTATAATCTACTCTAAAATTTGCACCAAGGAAACCTTAAACAGCAAAATAGGAAGAGAGGTCATTTATATTCAAGGAGACAGAGCATTTAATTACCAAAAAAAAAAATACAGCTCTGCTGGCTGTGCATTTTAACGTGCCCTCCATGGGCATAATGAACAATTATGAAGCAAACCCGTATACAGGAAATCACCGTCTTGGGGGATATTTTTTCACGAGCTGAGTAGCTTGTTAATGGAAATTTTTTTTCAGCCTCTGGCTGTCCCAATAGCCTATGAAATGAAAGACACAGTTTCTTTGGTGCTTAGCAAACGTCATGAGATTTGGACAATGCTGAACTGCACACATGGGATTGAGAATAATACTCGGGTCCACCAGTAGGGGGCGCGCAAACCAAATTTAGCAAGCACTTCGGAAATGGCAGTTTATAGAAGGAATGGATCAGGGAACATAGAAAAAATGAGGAGCAAAGTCAAATATTCAGGGCAAAGCTTCTGTCGGTGTCAGAGCACGGACCTCCAGTGCTCAAAAAGAAACCTCCACGTCAAATATTCTGGTAAAGCTTATGTGCAATAGCACAGACTTCAAATGCTCAAAAGAAATGTCTACAGCCTGCGGCTGTGTGTGTGTGTGTGTGTGTGTGTGTGTGTGTGTGTGTGTGTGTGTGTAGAATACAAGACAATCCGTCTAACTCATCCCCTTATTTCTACACCCCAGTTCTCCTTTTTTTGTTTGTTTGTTTGTTTTGCTTTGCTTTTCACATAATGCTGGGTGTCTGTCTAACATACCAGCTATAATAAGCATGTTCCTCATTTTTTCCCCCATACACCTGATCTGAGTTTCATAATTCCTAGAACTCTTTGGCCTCTGTCCCCTACCCCACCCCCACGTTACCGTAAATCATTAACTCATATGCATGTTTACTTTTTTCTTGTTGAGGCAAGGTCTCATGTACTGTGGGATAGCTTCCAAGAAGGACATTGAATTTCTAATCCTCCTGACTTTTCCTCCAAAGTGTTCAAGTGTTCTGACTACAGGCTTAGCCACACATGGTTAAGTGGAGCCAGGGATGGAACCCAGGGCTTTTCCAATGATCTGTAAGCACTCTACTGCGTGACACCCCCACTCCCACTCTTGCAGAACTTAAAAAAACATCTTTTGCTACCCAAATCGCTTAAGTTTTACAGTAAGTGAAACGTAATGCGTAATGTTTCGCTCCATTAATCAAGTATAGATTTCTCTCCCTTGAGATAGTCAAACTTCAATCTCATTTTTAAAAAAAAAGAAAAGAAAAGATTTCTTCCTCGCTCTGCAAGTCACAAAAGCCTGTTTTCAACAGAGTCCTTCAAGATTCTGCACCAGCTTTTCTCCCAATAAACAACAGGTCTTGGTCTCTTAAAATAGTATTGGACGTGAGGGATGATTCACATAGCATACCAAATGTTGCTTTTGAAACACTCTTTTTGCATAGTGGAGAAAACCATTTTTAAGAACTGATGCTCTTCGAAGTATTGCAGTAGTTATTTGTCTATTGTCAAGCCACAGAGAAAAAGCCCTTCAGAATGGCTTGGAAACCACCCCCCAATAAATGCTAGGTTCAGATAGTATCTCAAATTTCCTGACTGGCTGACTTTAGAAGAATTATCCTAACTTGTTGATGATCTTCCCTTTATAAAATGGAATAGTAGTTAACTACCTTTCTAAGTTGTTTGTGGGAAAGAGAAAAGGGCAGGTCATATCTACAGCATACAGACAAAGGCCCAGTTAAACTATTGTTATTCATCATGAAATGGAAACTAAAGGTTATGCCCATCATGGACACAGACCCCCCCACCCAATCCCTAAAAAAGAACCTCGACTAACATATCCCCATTGTACAGATGGCCATAGGTCTTCTCTAGGAAGTTCAGAGTTCAGGGCAGTGCCTTTCGGCCACTCCTTCCCTGGAGGATGCAGAGAGCTGGCTCCATCACCACTGCCCGGCTGGAGAGCTGAAAAGCTGCTGTCTGGGTGTGGGAAAAGATTAGGCTAGGGAGAGGATGCTCTGTGTATGCTGGAGCTGGACGCAGAACAAAGACAAAAACATGGAAATGAGAGATCAAAATGAGCCAATAACAAACTCTAAGAGACGCAGAAGGACTGAGGAAGAGAAGGCTTTGTTCTAATGCTCATAGGCACCACAGAGAAAAAAGAAAACAGGTACCAGTGTTGTGGTCTCTCTCTCTCTCTCTCTCTCTCTCTCTCTCTCTCTCTCTCTCTCTCTCTCTCACACACACACACACACACACACACACAGAGGCTCTGAAAAAGGAGTGGCCAGAGAACAGAATCCCAATGCAGAAATTAAAGTCAATCTGTTCTTCTAAGAATATACTTGCCAGGCTGTGGTGGCGCATACCTTTAATCCCAGCATTTGGGAGGCAGAGCCAGGCGGATTTCTGTGAGTTCGAGGCCAGCCTGGTCTATAGAGCGAGATCTAGGACAGCCTCCAAAGCTACCCAGAGAAACCCTGTCTCAAAAAACCAAAAATATATATATATACTTAAAGCCCGGTGTTGGTGAGGCACGCCTTTAATCTTAACACTCAGGAGGCAGAGGTAGGTGAATCTGAGTTCAAGGTTAGCCAGTTCCAAGACAGATAGGGCTACACAGAGAAACTCTGTGTCAAAAATACTTAAAAAACAAAAACTTGAAAGACTGGAGAAGTGGTTAAGAGCATTGATTGCTCTTACAGAGGACCTGAGTTCAGTTCCCAGCACCCACATCAGGCAGGTGGCCCAGAATCACCTGTAACTCCAGCACCAGGTGATCCGATGCCCTCTGTCAGCACCCACACATGGGGCATGCAACATACAGACATGCAGACACATACATTTTAAAAATTAAGGTCTTGAAAAACATGATGCACTTGAGAGGCCATTGAGTGGGCTCATGGGTAAAGGCGCTTGCAGCCAAGCCGGAAAGCCTGAGTTCAAGCCTCCGGACCCACCTGATGGAAAGAGAGAACTGACTCCTGCAAGTTGAATTCTGACCTGCACACTTCACACCTTGACACACATGTCCCCCTACACATAGTGAAAAAAAAAATGTATAATTTAAAATTTAATAAAAAACGATACATTTGATGTAAAAGACATAGCCAAGATTATTTCCCCAGATGTAGAGTGAAAATTCAAAAACAAAAGCCCTGAGAGCAAAGACAAGACACTTGGAGGATCCGTGCATGCATCCATCAAGACCACATCTGCAGGACAAGACCGGGAAAGAAAGGGCTGGGCACAGAGCCACACATCTGTATCCCCACACTGGCGAGGTTGAGGCAGGAAGATGGTAAAATTGAAGGCCAGCCTGGGATACATGTTCAAAGATATTCTGAGATTACATAGGAAGATCCTATGTAATAACACGCCCTCCAGAAATTAAAAAAAAAAAAAAAACAGACTTCAGAGGAATTATGCAAGCTTCCATGAAAGGGATACCTTCCAAAAACAAATATCTCATCAGTATCAGTCTTCCTATAGCATTATTAGATGTTAGTAGACAAGTAAAAAAAAAAATATTTTGTGGGGTTGTTAAATTATTTAAGATGTATTTATTTTTATTTTATGTGTATGGGTGTTTTGCCTTCATGTGTGTCTGTGCACCACATCCGTGTAGTGCCTGTGGAGGCCAGAATAGGGTGTGAGAACCCCCAGGACTGGAGCTAGAGATAGCTGTGAGCTGCCCCGGGTGTGCTCAGACTCGAACCAGGATCCTCTGGAAGAGCAGCCAGTCCTCTTAGCTGCTAGGTCATCTCTCCAGCCCCCTGTAGGTTTTTTGGTTTTGATCTTTTTTTAATTCTAAGGAAAAATGTTTTGAACTTAAAATCCTTTCCTAAGCAACAACTATCCATCAAATGTGGATTCAAAGTCAGCCAGGCAAGAACTTGGAAGTTTGAACTCCTGGGAGTCCATTTGCAAACTGTCCTGTGAGAGATTAAAACACTAAAACTCTACAAAGGGTATCAAAGTCGAGGAGAAATGAGCCAAGCCCCAAAGGACTGAGGAGAGTCTGTTCACGCAGCTAGAGAATAAACTATTGGGATAGTTTCTCCCAGACTGAAACAGATCGTGTGCTGTAAAAGATGCCATTGAGACTAAGAGAGAATCCCACTTCAACAACATATGCGTGATCAAGAACCAGACCGTAAGGCAAGGCAGTGGTGGCACACACCTTTAGTCCCAGCACTCAGGAGTGGATCTCTGAGTCTGAGGCCAGCCTGGGCTACAGAGCGAGTTCCAAGACAGTCAAAGCTGTTACACATAGAAACAGAAGAAGGAGGAGGAGGAGGGAGGGAAGAGAAGAGAAGAGAAGAGAAGAGAAGAGAAGAGAAGAGAAGAGAAGAGAAGAGAAGAGAAGAGAAGAGAAGAAAAGAGAAGAAAAGAAAAGGAAAAGAAAAGAAAAGAAAAGAAAAGAAAAGAACGTTCTATTAGGGAGTGGTAGCACATGCCTTTCATCCCACAGATCCCTGAGTTCAAAGCCAGACTAGTCTACAGAGTGAGTTCCAGGACAGCGAGGGCTACACAGAGAAAACCTGTCTTGAGAAACAAAAATGAGAGAGAGAGAGAGAGAGAGAGAGAGAGAGAGAGAGAGAGAGAGAGAGAGAGAGAGACCTGAACATTCAGAGATAAAATGAAGGCATTATGTTTTTCTTATATATAACAAAGAAAAAGGCAGTTCACAATACCAGGAAAAAAAAAAAAAAAACACTGAGCTACTATACAAGAAAGTCATTGAGCAAACAGCCACTAACTAAAACATAATATGCTTTGAGCAATCTGTCCTTTAGAGGGAAAAAGGAAAGCAATACCAGTTGCCCTTGGCACTTGGGACATTTTTTTTTTTTAGTTTACTTTATTACCTTTGTTGTATGTGTGTGGGCATGCCCTG